TACAAAGGAAACAGGGCAAGCTCCAAGCTATCGCTTGAAGATACTTCCAGTTTTCTGGGCTCTAGCAGAGGGAGATAAATCTCTCTAGAGGAAGCAGGCAGTGGTGGTCCACCCCTCATCCCCACACTGCCCCGCACCTGCTGAGACCAGACCCTTGGATCTGATGGAAAGGACACCACACAGCCAGGAAACCTGCTTTGTAAGCCCACCTCGAGAGCGTCCTTACTTCTTTGAAACCTCCTGCTGGAGAAACACCATCTACCAAACAGTGATCTGTGAGAGCTCACATCACCACTGAGTTCTGGGCCAAAGCAGAAAAAATTCAAGGAAATATCAGGATCATAAGTCATTAGCTAAATAAAAAAAAAAAATAAATCCAGACACCTAGTGGTAAAATAAAGGCCAGCTAGAAGAGCGTGGCAAGGTAGTTAGCAGCAAGCAGCGGGCAGTTTCTCTGGCTCAGTGTCCTCTAATTCCTGTCTGGACCATTCCAGACCATCCTTTCACACAGTGTGAAGGCAAACTGCCCTGCCCCATCTGGAGCTACTGTCTGCACTACTCCATTGAGACTCAAGCTCTGGTGCTACAGTCCTGTACTAATTTAGCAGACTCCAAAGCTTAGTAGAATACTTGGTAATAAATTGTGTTAGCCAGAAAAAAAAAAAGTTACAAACATTGCCATGAAATACTGTGTCAATACTAATAGAGAGACAGAGACAACCAATTGCATTAAACCTCAGTTCATTTCTTTGCAGCTCTCCTTCCCAAAATCTTCTGCAAGAAGTAAAGAGCCATGCTCACCAAGACACCCGCTATCACTCCGCTTACAATTCCTATCAAGCATTCATAAAACAATTCTCCTTGCCAAAAACGCTGCTGCTTTTGCACTTCTTGATGGGTGCTATTTTCGGTGTTTCCTTCCTCCTTGTTTGCTGCTAACTTCTGTTCCCAGGTCAAGGATTTTTGAAAGTTCAGATCCACTAAGTCATTTTGGATCACTCTGACCCCAAAGTAGACCCTCTTGATGACTTTGAATGTCTTCAACATCTGCACATCACATCGGTAAGTCCCTGCATCAGACTCCCTGGTAGGGGAAAACTTGATGACAGAATCTGGGTTATTGAAAGGTTTGAACAGTACATCATTTGTGGTGATCAGGCCTTGGGCCAGCCTCCACGTATAGCCGTAGGCTTGGCTACCAAAGCCGACTGCGTCGGAGGTCAGGCAGCTGAACTGGAAGGGTTTTCCCACATGGACAGTGAAGTGGAGTAAGCCACAAACCCAGCTGGTCAGGCAGTCGGACCTGCGCAAGGTACAATTCCTCCTCTCTCCGGCAGGAGTGATCTCACACATCTCCTCCAGCTTGAAGCCCGGCCCACAGGTGACGCTGCAGGATGTGGTGTTGACTGCAATTTTCACTACAGCTGACTTCAGCTCTGCTGGGATGGTGACTTTGTCAAAGGAAACTACCAATGGCAGATAGAAAGCACAAGATAATATCCCAAGGATGGGGCTGTTCCCCAAGGTCTTCATATCAGGGGTTTCCATCAGACATACTGCTTTCTAAAGCCATGCAAATTCAGTAGTCAAAAAACCACAAAATCATTCTTTGCAAGTCTTCAAACTAAGTATCTCTGAAATCCCACCAGCATCATCTTCAAGACCTAATACTTCCATTAGGAAAAATCCTCCAACAAGACAGGCTTGAAGTACAGCACTGCTAGAAAAGATACAACACATTACTAGATCGGTCAGAATGTGAATCGTGAATTCCAGTTCTTGTAACAGGGCAGCAGAATGTTTTAATCCACGATATGCCACCAATTTGGATATATTTGACAATTTAAAAAAGATTAAGTCCTCCCTTCTCTGTAAGATTTTACATACTGTTCTGGATGAATTTCCACTGTAAAGTAGCACTGTTCCAGTTTAATTTTCCCACCAAACTATAAAGCAATATAAGCAATCATTACTGGAATCCTTAAAATAGTGCTGTTGAACATAAGGAAATCATAATTCCTTATGCAGCACTCGTACAGTTCTGTCTTACATACATGTACACTAAAATCTAAAGTACTCCCCAAATTAACAAGATCACAAAAACATGATTTCAACCTCTAGACAGCCTGGAGGGCACTGACATCAAAGGGAAGCTGAACGGTATTTTATCACTGATGACATCCATCTCTCCGCAGGGCTCAGTGCAGTCACTCCCATCTCCGTGAGCCCACGTTTCTGGGGGAGTGGTGGCGATGTCACAATCTGGCTGCCCGGGTCAGAATGTGGCCCCAAACCTTCCGAGGGAGAACAACGAACTCCCCTAAGTCAGAAGCCAAAACGATGAGGACTCAGCCTAAAAGCATCGTATTTGGGCTCTTGACACCCACCGTCAAACTCAGAAGGCATTCAACAGCACTGGCCTCGCGGCATCACTCAGAAGAGCGGCGAGCCTGAGCCCTGTGCTCTGTGTCACATAGAGCCACCAATTCCAGAGAGATCTGAGCCAAAACCTCCACGTTCAACTGATGCAGCTGTAAAACAGAAACCACTCGTATGCTGCCACTGCAGCAAAATGCTTGAAGAGGAGACATCCCAGTGTAATTCACTTAGTGCTCAGGTGTTCCAAAAGAATAACGTACTACTAAAAAAGTTCTTCGTGAAAAAAATCAGTTACTTATTTTTGACAGAGTAATTGAACTATGGTCAAGGCAGTTCAATAATCAGCATCTCCCTACCAGCAACTGAATTATGGATTGCAGAAAGGATTTGGATTACCATGTTCTTCAACAGTTCTGCTAATAATTATCCGTATTTCTCTTCCTAGCGCTCCTTGATTTATTAAAGTTAAGGCTTCTGAAGATCTAGTATTTGTATTTTCCACATTCAGTTTCCCTGGAGGTACACTCTACACCCAGCACGCTTTGTGTTCAGCTCCGCTTTCACACGTCTCTGAGTGCCAAAGCTGCACTTGGGTATACCAGGCTTTTATTAGACTACAGACTTACTCCTCTCTCTTGAAAAGAGATCATCAACCAAAGACCACACTGAAAAAACCCAAACACCACCACACCAGCTGTGGTGAAGGCACAGTATGTTTGTGTTTGCACCCGAGCTATATTGTAGGATTCCTAAACATTGTCACAATACAAACAATCACGGTTGTATGGAAAAGCCAAGACTTACCCATTGACTTTAGGAAATAAAAACATACCTCTTTATTTACAAACACAAAAACTAACATCACTGCTAAATACTACCATCAAGCCAGTATCTGACAAATATTGTACAAAACTACAGATACCAAAAAATAAAATAAGAGATGGAAGAAAATAAACCAAGGACATATACACTGTACAGAGAAGTTTTAACAGAAACGAAGGCTGGAGTCTGTGGCAAATCATACGCTTTAAAATAATCTAGAGAACCGCTGCCTGTGCATCTTTTAAAGCTTGTGGGGTCAGCCACACCACATACGGCTGGATTTCACACAGCAGTGTTCCAGGAAAGATGCGAGTCATCCTACAAGCAGAGAGAACAAAGAGAACTAATACTGTACGCATGGGAATGAATTTCATTAAATGAAGCAGACCACTGTACCAAAGCCAGAAATGAAAAAAACAGTTTTAAAAAACCTTCTGATTTAAAATATGTCCTCTCTTCCCATGCTTATATCTCACGCAACTACTGCATACTTCCAACTGCAAATTAATAAATCTCTTTAAGACTCCTCTTCTTGGTTTTTAATGTCTGCAGGATACTTTGAAAATTTAAATACGTGGTGATAATCCAATAACTACATCTGGGGAAAAACTGAAAGTAATTGCATAGGAACTATAAAAGTCTATAAAACAAGCGGCATTAGGAATGAAAACTTTCTTTTAACAGGCGGTTGGTCTAGTACAGAGAGGTGTCAGGATGTAGGCACTGGACAGAGACAGTGTCTCTTCCCCTTCCCACAAGGAAATTATTACAACCGTCTTTAAGGAATAAAAGGTTAAAGCCTGGCTGGGAATGAGCTGTCAGCATTCATCTTTCTTCCATTCTTGATCCAGAAGTGGGGAAAAAACCCTGGAAAGCTACTGTTTCAGTTTGAAGAAATATCGGTTCTTTTTTTTTCCTCTAACTGCCAGTACCTACCAGCTAAGGAGGAAACCAATTGTTTCTGGTAGGGCACCTCACAGGAAAGAGACAGAATAAAAACACTGGTGAGGACAGAAAGAAACTGCCAACACAGCTTTCTATATTGCAGGCTAGAAGAAAGCATATAAACTGAGTATTTTATCTAGTGCTATTTTCACTTGTTCCTTCTCCCATAAGCAGAGTCATCCTTCATGTCTAAAATATTCACAATATGAAGATTCATTCTTTGCAGACTTCAGAGGCGTCTTGATTCTTCACATTAAATCTCTATCCACTTGAGATGAAATCAAACCCGGCACACAATCAGCAGCAGTGTTTCACTAAGCATGTCAGCACAGAAGACATCACACTGAGCTAACGGAACAGCTAAGGCAATGCAGCTGGCCTAGAAGGACTTACAACTCACCGAAATGAGAATTAACAGCAAAGAAAAGGAAGTTTGCAAGATACACAGTCATACCGCATCAGGAATAAAAATACACACTTTGGGTATTCTTCAATCCAGGAACAAAAAAAAATATATTTAAAAGACAACGGCTGATAAGCTCTGGAGTAGCAGATGCTGGGTACCAGCTCACTTTAGAAATAGTTATGTATGTCAACACAAAGGCAGTCCAGTTAGTCTCTTTGCAAATCGCATGACCTGAGAGTCAGCATCTTACACTGTTCGATGAAGAGGCAGTTAAGGAGGAATGAAGGCCGTTTCCTCTTCCATATTCATTTCTTACAAAAGTCACTCCCTGAATCCATGAACAATCAGTCTGCTGTATTAGTCAGTCCACTCTGACTGAGCATTTCATCTATTTCCACATTATGGTGCCAATATAGGAAAGAATACAGGAAGATAAAGAAGAGTGTCTTCACAACAATTCTGAGATTGCCCCACCTGCTGAAGAGATCAAAGACAGGTGAAAAATAAGTAACCAGACTCAAACAGATGTTACCAGAAACCAAGAGACCACCAAATATGGTAGCATTTCCAGAAAAAAAAAGAAAGAGAACAAGACTTTCTAGATACAGCCATTCTTTTCAGAATGAGATATAATCAACAAGATACTATCTATGACAAATTAAGATCTCCAGTATTTCTGCATTTGTATTTGAGATCACGTGCACAGGCATGGACAAGGTGGCTGAGGAACTCTGAGCTTTTACTCCACAAAGTTACAAGCAAACTTACCTGGTGTAAAATTTTTTGATTCATAATCCCAAAATGTCAGAGCAAAACCACAACTGGAAACATCAAGTTCCACCCAAGTTTGGGTTAAACCACACTGCCGTAAGATTTTATGTTAAAACTATAAAATGGATCAAGCTTCTCAGTTTGTTTATTCTGAACTGAACCCCGATTTTAAATAAGATATTTACTGCCAGACTGCACAGCACAGTGACACGGATGTGCTTGCAGCAGGCTCCAAGGCCCAGCCCCGCAGCTTGCGGAAAGACACTGTATTAGGGCATACCACAAACATTTTCCAGCGGAAAAATGTCTGGTGTGTGACTGTTTTAGCGACTGATTAGTTACTTCAGAAAGCAACAGTACAAGGAGCTAGTAGAATTAACAGCTTCATGCATGAGAGAGAAAAGGCAGTCTGGCTCTAGGATCCCAGGGAAGTGTGTATTTGTATGTAGTGGAACACCGGCAACCCCAAGAAAAAAAACTGGCTGCCCAAAACAGGAATCGTAAGCGCAAGCCTTGAAGAGAACAAAGGAAGACAGACATGTACTTCATAGATTAAAAGACTGCTGTGAGTTTGGAAAGCCCCAAGGGACAGCTTCTTCCAGTGGACAATCTGTTCTTCTCGTAACGTGACTCACACAGACACTTCCAACACTAACCACTGAGATCTACTGCATGGATCTATTAGATCCTCTTAAGCCAACAGTACTGCAGAAGGAAGCACAGTAACAGGTCCTAATGAGAGACAGAAGTCCATCATAGCAATATTATTTGCCTATAGCTCAATCAAGCTAAAGACCACCACCACAGAAAAACACCTTAAAGTGCTTACAGGCAAAAAAACCTAAAAGCAAACCTTAGAAAGATCAACCACCTCCAACAGGTGGGTAAAGTAAGTAGGGAACTTAGGTCTAAATACAGTTGTTCCTAAGAAAAGAAAAATGCCATTTTACAGTATCCAAAACCCAAAGCTAACTGTATTGGCACCAGTATGCACATACGAAGCTCAACAGCAGTAAAATTCCACTGTTATCTTTTATAGCCTGTCAGACTATATTATAACAACTGCATGGGAGCATTACAAGAAAAAACACACAAAAATTCTCCCAAATATGGCTTTGCAAGGATATGTATAAAAGCAAAAAAGGAGTCTAAAATGTTGCTTCATTTGAAAAGTGTTAGAGGAAATGGGAGTATTACTTTTCCAGCTCTCAGAACAGACTAATGCAAGTGATCACAAGCTGCCAGAGGAAAATACAGGGATCTGTCTACAAATGTCGATCTAGCAAATTAGTAAAAGAAGTTGATAACAAAGTTACATAAACATACCCTGAAAAAGCTGAACAAAAATACTTGCTATGAAAACCACTTCTCTGAAAACAGACTGCTTATACAGCCACTTAAACATGGGAAAGTCAAAACATCCAGCATTGGTTATTTGAAGTAAATGATGACTGACATTCATTTTAGAAGCCACATTGTTAAGTTTCCAGTGCACGATCCTTTCTCATTTATATCCATTTGCATAGGGTGTAATAACAGAAAGCAATCAACAGGCCTGCTGACAAAACTAATGGTTATACTCATTTGGTCTTCAAACCCCTCTTGTCCCTCCAGCGTGATACAACAGAGCAGTCAGGATGTAAAACAGATGCCAGCAAAGACACCTGAGGATCCACACCACCCAGATAATTCCTTACTGTCATACTTTAAAACATACTGGATGCCCCCTAATGACTTGAGAAGTCAAAAGAGAATCACCCTGTCCAGTAAATCTGACACCAGGAGCTAATCAGTACCTCCCAGCCTACAAACAAGGTCTAAGGATATTCTTGGCTATCTCTTTAATTCCTGGATTTTGCAAGGTGCAGTGTGAAAGGATTAAATGGAAGCCCAGAGAACATCCACCACATTTTTCCATGTATAGACTAAGTTTCTTTTATCCCATTCCCTTTTTCCGCAAACAGCAATTATCAGTACTAGTACAAGCAACATTAACAGGAGCTGAGCAGGAAGGACAATGAGCAAGGTGGGTAGCGTAGGACCAGCAGTGAGGGAAGGAAGGGGGGAGGAAATAAACTCACTTCTGTACAGTCTAAAATCCACAGCAGCAGCTGCTGAGTTCAAGGAAATGCAAAATTTGATATACCAATTCCATTGTGTCTTTGCAATTGTTCATATATCAACACTGAGTTCTTCATTACAATCTAAAAAAATTGAGCCCACATCACTTAATCCAAACATGTGCTTCCTTTACTGTGCTTGAATGAACTTCTCCCAAATAAAAAGCTGAAGTAGCAAATGAGACAGATGGGAAACAGTTTCTCTGAGACTAAGTCTGGGCCCCAACAAAGGCATCTGCAATAGTCCTGTCTTTTGGTACACAACTAACAAAATATGACCAAAAAAAAAAAAAAAAAAGGAAAGTCCACCAAAACACATCCTCATTTACAGCAGCTGTACTTTCTGGAATTTAACTAAGGCTGCTATATAGTTAGGAATAGAAAATTCAGCTCCTGAATTTTATCTCAGGGTTCGTTTATCATACGGACCATTATCGATGCTCCACTTCCTAGTTCTGCTTACAGAACTTTTCTGTTCTTCAACACTTCGCCTAGTATCGATGGCACAAAATGTCAATTTCAGCTTCAGAAGCCTTCACTGTTCACATTTCCCCCCCTCAAAATCGACCCAAACATTATTGCTTTTTACGTAAGAGTTGATAGAAGTTATTGAAAAGATTAAAGTTACCAAAAGAGTGTTTGCTTTTGAAGCAGTGCTCAATCTCTATTAAAAACCCTACATTCTCTTTCTATGCTATAACACAGGCATGGATATCAGATTTATTGCAAATATTGAAAGCGCTTCCACTTTAAAAAATGTAAAATTTTGCCTATCCTTGACAGCAGCTAAACATTTAGTGAGCAAGTGCCATTTGGGAAGATAAAATGCTATGACTATATTAAGTCAGGGTCTGTACAAAGCAAGGCCACCAAGCAAGGCAACGACGCTCACGCTGGGTTCCTTACCTGTCAAAGGCTGTCCCAGCTCCGCCTGCACTTTACCCTTCGCTGCTCCTTCCAGAGGTAAAGCACCTCTGTCCCCTTTGTAGAGTTTCGGTTTAAATGGAGAATCTTTGTCTTTACCTTTTGATCCTTTAGGCCTGCCTGCTTGCTTCTTCTTGGATTTACCATCTCCCTTCACACCCAGCAGCGGATGGACTTCTGTGGAGAGACAATGTGTTACCAAAGTGAATTATCCCTTAAGATGCTTACATCAGGATGTACAGCCCTCGATGTCAGACACAAACACCATTAAGAATTACAGTTTCAGGATGCCTTTACTCATTCCTAGCTCGCAAAATGCCACCACACTTGCAGAGTTGGTGGCTATTAATAACTTTTGTAAGAAGTGACTTCACAGGAAGGAGAAAATTAAGGAGTGACCTTCTGAACTTCAGGTCTTCAGACCATCTCAGATGCAGAACAGGCAATAAAACAATGGCAGCTTCTACGCACCGTCATTAGGTACTCCTTGTAGTTCAATGTTGGTGGTTTTGGGCTTCTTCTTTGGTGCCTGAGGTCCATCAGAGGAGGACTGCCTCTTCTTCTCAGAACCTATTCCCTCATCAGTTAAAGAACTCTGAACCGCATCTGGTGGAGGTCCATAAGGGTTTTCTTCTGGATCTTCCACTTCAGGAGCAATGGGTAAGTAAAGCAGAGCCTTGGAGTCCTCCAGTTCTTCATCGCTGTGAAGCAAAAAAGTTTGCTTTCATTTAAAACTAGGCGTTATTCCAACATATGATATAGGGAATATTAGTGATACATTTTGTATTCATACTTTAAACAAAATATTCTTTCACCTGCTACAGAAGGCAGCAATGGGATCCACACTGGTTACATCCACTTCTTCATCTTCTGCAGCATCAGCACCTGAGAACCAGGAAAAAAAGATGAATTACAGACAATAAGGATGAAATGACCAGATTACTTAGAAAGAACGAGACTGACTGTGCTGAAATGTCTAAGCATGCAGAACTGAGAATTAGAGCAGAAAACAAACCTAAAGTATTTCCTCTTAAATCCATCAGGTTTTTGTTTTATTTTTCTATGTTCTAATACAGACCTATTGTTATAAAACACCACTAAGAAAGCTAGATAAAAGATTTAAAATCTTCTAGACGTTTTGTTGTTTTCACTAAACTAGTTCTAAATCTGATGAAATTTATTTTAATGCTTAATTCCCATAAGCCAATGTTACACTTGAATATTCAAAACTGCTACACAACAATTAATCTAAATATGAGATGTGCTGCAAAGCCTGGTAATGAGGAGAGCTCTGTAGTGTGCTGGGAATAACCCTCATCTCTTTCCCCAGTTTAACCGCAGCCTTTCACAGTACACAATTTTTTGGCACCACCATGTGGTCAGGTTGCACTGCTACTGATTCCAATTCAGCACTGCTGCTGCTCAGAGCAAGCCCCTATGACGATATATGTCTATTTGCTACTGCTTTCTGCTTAAACGTATATTGGAGAGGAGAGGCATTTCTAAAAAAAGAAAAAAAGTTGCACGTCAATTGGCAGGAATCACATTAATTGTGTTAGTTCATACAACTTCATTTACCCACTCTTGTTTTGTCATTTAACACCCACTAGTTTTATTTTGTACTACAGTCATGTAGTCAGACTGCAAACTATTTGCTACGGAGAAACACAGTTTATGCAGTACCTGTCTGTTCTGGTTCACTCTTATCTTCATCTTCAATGTCAAACTCTGACTCTCTCTCTTCATACTCAACATTTTCATCCAGCTCTTTGAAGTCAGGCGCAAAGGCACTCCAGTTTTCCTACACCACAAATTCAAAATGGTTTTTACCTTATGCAAAGGAACAGCAGCCGTAGTGAGGATTCATGCAATCACAGTCTCATTCTGCACTAAAATCCCCCAAGCCACACGCAAGATTACAAAAATCAAACCTTATTCAGGTCCAGTCACGTGGCAAATTGTAAACCGCACAAGTTAGTTTCTGCTGAAAATATGACATCATAATATTCCTTAAGTATTGTGATGTATGCAATAATTACCCTCTTTGGCAATAATTACCAAAGCTGTACGTTCATGTTTAGCCACTTAGTTTTGTCTCGCTCACCCAGATTTCCTGCACTTAGACAACACATTCAGGACACCTTTTCCACACAGAGCGTCCCTGTGATGATATTTAATGCAAAACTTAACTAGTTCAGCAACTGAAATATGAGTACCCTCCTCACATTCAACAAGATGGCAAACATATGTCAAGTTAGGCAGGTGAACCTAATGAGCTTGTTGAAATGGGATTTAATAAAGGATTTCAACATGCAACCATTCAGTCTACTAGGATGGAGAGCACTAGGAAATCCTCTTAAGGAAAGGATCTACAACACTTACCACTTGATTCTGAGCCCATATTGACACAACACCACTCGAAATAGAAGCTATGATCGGTCGGACAGGATGCCACTAGATTTATTTGGAAGACAAAAGAGGAGCTTAATTGGTAAATGGAATTCAGCAAGCTTAGTTTTCAAAATAACAAGAAACACAAAAATAGCAGACAGCTTTCTTACTGCTACATCCAAGAGCAGCTCTCCCCTGGTCCCGTGGAGGATTTTCACTAGGTTTCCAATACTCTTCTCCCAAATGTACAGGGCATGCTGTCGTGCTGAACCTGCCACTATATATTCACCGTCACCAGAGAAACAGCACTTCTTCCACGGTGTCCTGCACGCAAAGACAACATCACAAGTTAAACAGTTAAACAACAGCACATAGAGGACAAAGAACCGCGGAGTGGGCTTGTTCTTCAGACTGAGATCTTACACCCTCCCATCCACCAATAATGTTTAAACTTCAAATCAAATTGAGACAGACAGGTTTCAAATGAAAACATCTGTCTATTACACTGAGTAAGATACTGAGCTACCCTTCACCCAGGACTCCCATTAGTGCCGGGCACACAAACCTCACCTTTCCAAGTCAGGCTGACCAGCCGTTCTGCTGCCTCTTACCTGTTCACTAAATCCTGCAGCTTCTGCATCGGTTCAGGCTCCCCATCTCGTCCACAAGTTAGAATTTCACGGCCATCATACACCCTGATTATCCGGTCAGCTGTGTTTATTAAAAAGCAGCTGTAGGACGGAAGGCACAGAACATGCATTGCATTAAAAGACTAAGAAAATAAGAAAAATCAGACTGTGTTCCATGAAATAATTATGGGGGTTTTAAGACCCTGTATTCTCTGTCAATCTACGCTACAGTTTCAATTAAACTTTAAAGATACAACTTGACAGATGAAGTAACTCACCTTCCTTTCCGAGCAAATTCAATTGATTTAATAGCTGTGGTGTTGCTGGTTCCAGTTGTCACTCTGAAGGAAGCAACAAGATCCTGAGTGTCTGTTTTTAAGACCAAGATCTGAAGATTAAGGAGACAGAAGACAATCATTGTCTTTACTGTAACTCATTCCCCTTTCAGTACCTTTCACATCAGCTACTAACCCTGACAACAGAAGCCTCAGCAATCTACACAGGAATAGTTGGGATTCTGCGACTGTAGTTTCTACTACAGTTTCTGCAACAGTTCTGCGACATAAACATTGGTTTGTTTACACTGGAAAAGGATCCAAGAACATGGTCAAAGACAACAGCAACACAAAGACCTAACTCAGACAAAGTATTATCGTCTACAGAGCTTCAAAGATAAAGTGTGATGCTTTATTCAGAAGATCGTATCAGTGCGTTATCAATTATTCAAGAGACATTCAGGAAGCCTTACTTGTGTATAAAAACAAGGAATACAACCCAGAAACGTTAAGCATCTTAATAAGAACAGGAAGTAATCTAAGCTCTTGCATCCAGTGCCGCCTGCTGAAGTCTCACCTTCCCCTTGGCATTGCCCGTATAAATGTATTCCCCTCGCCTGTCAAAGGAGGCCACAACGTTGAGATCGGAATCATCATCCACAGGCAGGACAACATGTTTGGAATCTGACAGCGTTAGCATCACTGGTGCCGACTTCATGGGACAAACCAAAACTCTGTTTCTGCAAAGCAGAAAAAGAAAAGTTAGTAGTTTCTTCTCTGGAAAAGAAGTTTCCACATTTAGAAGAAAGAAAAAAATCTCAACCTACAGCAAGAAATACAAAATACCTCTGTATTTTTATTATTTTATTTCACCTTTGTCACTTTAATTGCAACCTGACATTAAGCTAAGTCTACTTTCGTTTCCTTTCTTTTTCTGGAAGCTTCTCCAAATTTATGCAGTAAATTGTAAACTCAACAGGACATTTCTATGCACTCTTTTAAGAATTATTCTCTTGTTTACTCTCTTCCTTTTTACATTTTCTTAATAAAAAAAGCCACAACAAATCCAGTTAGTGTTCTAATCACAAAAAGAAGATACACTGACAGCATCGACTAGATTTGGCAAAAAATCACTTTGCAAACTGAAATAAAAAAAGTTTATTAACCCTTAAATCTACCAAAATGAGAACATTTGACCCTTTTTTTCACATGACTTACTGGTCTCGAGGGTGGTACTGAACTTTCAAGATAGGCGAAGGAAACCGAAATCTCTGGTCGCAGTCCCCAGACAGCACATCCCATTGTGACACAATGTTATCAGTCGAAGCACTCACCAGTTTGTGACCATCTCGACTCCAGCTACAGTAACGAGAGGCAATTCGAGTAAAAGTTACTCCTTAGACACAAAACATAGAACCACAGTTTAAAACTATCAGACCAAATTATCAGACTCAGATATAAATCTGTTAGCCTGAAAAATAATCTAACATCCAAAAACTTAATACGCATAACACATTTGATAAAGACAGGAAGGGACTGAATGCACCCTCAGCAAGTTTGCCTTGCCACGACACTGAGCTGTGTGGCACAGTCGACACGCTGGAGGGAAGGGATGCCAACCAGAGGGACCTACACAGGCTTGAAAGGTGGGACCATGTCCACCTCATGAAGTTCAACACGGCCAAGTGCAAGGTGCTTCACCTGGGTCAAGCACAAATCCAGGCTGGGCAGAGAAAGGATGGAGAGCAGCCCTGAGAAGAAAGACTTAGGGGTGTTGGTTGATGAAAAGCTCAATGTGAGCCGGCAATGTGTGCTGGCAGCCCAGAAAGCCACCTGCATCCCGGGCTGGCTGCATCCCCAGCAGGGTGAGGGAGGGGATTCTGCCCCTCTGCTCCGGTCTGGGGAGACCCCCCCCCTGCAGTGCTGCCTCCAGCTCGGGGGGTCCCAACAGCAGAAAGACATGGATCTTTTGGAGCAGGACCAGAGGAGGCCATGAAGATGCTCTGAGGGCTGGAGAACCTCTGCTGGGAGGACAAGCTGGGAGAGTTGGGGGGGTTCAGCCTGGAAAATAGAAGGCTTTGGGGAGACCTTAGAGCCCCTTCCAGTGCCTAAAGGGGCTCCAGGAGAGCTGGGGAGGGACTCTGGATCAGGGAGGGGAACCACAGAACAAGGGGGAACCGTTTTACACTGAAAGAAGGGAGAATGAGATGAGATATTAGGAAGAAATTCTTTCCCGTGAAGGCAGTGGGACACTGGTGCAGGTTGCCTCGAGAAGCTGTGGCTGCCCCATCCCTGGAGGCGTTCAAGGCCAGGTTGGACGGGGCTTGGAGCAACCTGGGCTGGGGGGAGGTGTCCCTGCCCAGGGCAGGGGGTGGCACTGGATGGTCTTTAAGATCCCTTCCAACCTAAACTATTCTACGATTCAATGATTTCCACTCTCTTAAAGGAAACCTCCCTAAAACGTAAGTGGCTATCCCACCTCGGGCACTTCAGTCATCCACACGCCCAGGTGTTAAGATCTGTCAGGCCACCAGAGCTCCGCAAACACAGGCATGCACAAATCCTAACAAAAATGCAAACAGCCTTTCATACCCAGGGCACCAAGCTACGAGTTCAATTACGACCTATCACCGAGATCAGTTCTTCCGAGAAAAACCGAGCCTTTTCTCACCATAACGAGCAGACGGGGTGGATGTGGGCGCTGATGATTTTGGCGATGCCCCTGGTGAGGAAGTCCCAGATGACGATGCGCCCGTCGTTGCAGCCCACGGCCAGCAGCGTGCCCCAGCGGTTGAAGGTGCAGGTCAGGGCCATGCTGATGCAGTCCAGCGTCCCATCGGCCCCCTGCGGGGAGAGGGCAGCCGGGGGGGGGGCCGGCCAGCCCGCCCCGCCCGGCCGCTGGCAGCAGCGGGCGGGACAGGGGCAGCCCCGCGGGGCGGGGGAGGACGTTTACCTCAGGGTAGTTCTGGCCGAAGGACTCTGCAACGGAAGGCAAAGACGTGAGGTT